CCGTACCTACGTACGTACGACGACGGACGAGTACGTACGTACGACGTACGATACGTATATATATATATATATATATATATATATATATACACACACACACACACACACACACACACACACACACACACACACACACACACACACACACCAAGTATAACCTAAAATGGTCATTACATAAAAGCCTGTACCATGTCACTATTGCATTAAGTTGAAAAGAAGTGAAAATTTTAACGAATACTTTACTTTTTTTTTCTTATTTTACTGTGAATTTATTTCTTGTTTTTGAAGTGGGATGAATTTTTGTGTGTTGGATGTGCTCAGTATTTCATATAAAAGTTTGGTGTGCTTGAAATTAGTGTTTTTCATATAGAAAAAAGTGTTATTTAATACATTTTCCTATATATGCAAGTATTTTTTGTTATTTCAGATAATTCACATGACTTTACTTAGCCGATTAGAAGCTAGAAAAAATGGCCAGCAGCGAACTCGTACTCACCATAACTGGGATGACAGTGGAAAAGACTACCAAGAGTTTGAAATACAAGAAGATAGGGCTCAGATGCTGAAGACAATACAACAGAGTAGTGTACTTGACAGTAGTGGAGAGTTTCGTATTGTTAACTTTTTGATTCATGCAGAATTTTCTCACCAAGGCAGTCAAGTCAAACAAGATGTGAGTATTGTAACACAGGCAACAGTAAATCATCTGCATTATTTAAGCACTATTAGTGAGAGGTGGCATGGTCCCATATCTGTAGTGGTTTTCTCCCTAACTCAAGATATTCCTAGAACAGTAGAAGGTATTCTCCACTTACGTCAGTGTTTTCCAGCAGTACGATACAATACCAGCTTCCATCTAGTCTATCCCCTTAATAATCCACAACCAGAATCATCCTTACTACCCCAATTTAATGTCCTACAGTTTGGTACATGTGAGGATTTGTTGGAAAAGTTGAAAGCTGTTAACATTGCTGAAAATTATGCTCATGGTGTACCATATCCAAACAATTTATTAAGAAATGTGGGAAGAAGAAATGCATTAACCGAGTTTATTTTTGTGATTGACATAGACTTGGTTCCAAGTGATCATCTTCATGAAGATTTTCAGGTTTTTGCCAAAGAGAACAGGTTATTTCTAGAATCTCACAAAGATGACAAAACTGTGTACGTAGTTCCAGCTTTTGAACTCAAAGAAGGAGCAGCAATTCCAAAACAGAAGACTGAACTACTTCAGCTTTTGGAATTAATGGAAGCTAGACCATTTTATTTTGAATTGTGCTGGAAATGTCAGAAGCACACAGACTATGAAGCATGGCAGCGAGAACCACCTACATCTAAACTGGCTGTCCTCTTTGAAGTTTTGTGGAGAGATCCATGGGAGCCCTTTTACATTGCTAGGAACAGTGTACCTTTGTATGACGAGCGTTTTCGACAATATGGTTTCAACAGAATCAGTCAAGTAAGAATAAGCAATTTGTTCCTTACTTGTAAAGGTTTAATGTTTTGGTTTTTTAAACAAATGAAAAAAAAACTGAAAATAAACTTTGTTACAGATTTTTTTTCTTTTCTAAATGATATAGAATAAATCTTAAATGTCAAAGTGAAAATTAAAAATTATTTTATTCAATTTTCTGGAGTTAGTCTAAATGTTTTAATATCCCAGGAATATTAACACAAGTTTCAAAGAATAAATCTTAAAATGCTCAAATTTCAAAATATATGCATTAAAATTCATAATGCATTTTAGCATTTATAGTATGATCGGAATTTGGTGTTTTATTTGTAATAAATACTTTCTTACCTAAAGCAGCCTGTAGTTATACACAAAAAATGTTGGATGATTCTTTTCATTATCAGAGTTCGAAACAGATCGTTTGCTGCAAAATGTAATAGAAAAGATAACTAGGTTGTATGCTTACAGATTGACTAGCTTAGAATAATTGTTAATATTACTCACAATCTAACGAAGGGGTCAAATGGTTGTTCACCAAAAGAAAAAGAAAAAAAACCCTGCTATTTTGGAATGTGAGCATGTCAAAATTATCAGACCAAAATGAAATGTTATCAGGCCAGTACACAGAATGTTTTAAAAGGGGTTCTAGTTTGTGAGATTAAAAGCCAACATATTGTGTGAAGCACAATCAGCATGCTGATGCTACAGAAAATTTGTTAAAAAGGGGTGCTATTGGATTAAATCTGATGCAATTTTTCATGAAATATAGCTTAAACAATTACATTCAATTCCATAAGCAGCAGCACTATAAATATATATGCATCACAAAAATAGGGGGTTTGGCTAAACTTCCTCAAACCCCCCTGCATTCATGTGTGGTTATTACTGCAATTATAAACAAAGCAAGGTATGCTTTTGTATAGATTCTGCTACATATTAAATAATTCTAATTCTAACAAATCTATCAACATAATTGTCTGATTGTTAAATTTGTTGGAATACAACATTGTTTTAGAAGTTTGACCTATTTTGTCACAAAAAAACTGAGTGTTGATTTATACATATATACTGTGTGTAAATTTTGTTTGTTCAATATATACTTGTCATTTATAATTTCTGAAACACTGCCAAACTCTGAACTCCATGTGGACAACTCTACAAAAATATTTGATAATACTACTGAATTTACAGCTGAATGGAATACTTGATCATAAAAATAGGAAATATAGACTAAACTCGTTAGTTATGAAGAACTTCAGAAAGTTTTCTATCAAATAAATTTCTCCTCCTCTGATGTTTTCCCTGATAGTAGAACTATGAAGCTACAACAGTGAAATTGTTTTTCTCCAATAGATTATTACAACATAGTGTTGTTCTACAACTGGCAGAGTTTAGAATAAAAGTATTTGGTCAATTTCTCGCTCAACTTAAGGCTCATTTCATCCAAGAAATTCGTTCTGGCTTTCATAATGCGTGAAGCGATAAATCACCATGAAGTAGTCGCTTTTTCTTTTTTTAATATTCAGCTAGCACCTTCTCAGTGTTTATGGCAGAGAAAAACATCTCCACCAAGCTTATACAAAAAAATACTTCTGTAGGTTGTCATACAGTAAGCATAAACTGACATGGTTATTGCACAGACTTCTATTACAGATTATCACAGTTTTTCCAGAAGTGGTGTGAATTTCTTATGCTTTAGACTGGAATTGTTGTATGGGCGAACAGCGATTACGTACGTAGGATGAATTGACCAATTCTTCAAGCTGTATGGCGTAAGTGTGATGTGCTAATTCAAGCACTACCAATGGAAGCCTAACGTCTACACACGGCTTGTATAGTGTTTCTTCGTCGTTTTCTTTTCTGTCGCTTTTATTTTTTTGAAATGTTTGCTGCTGAACGTGCGCATATAAATAGCTTTATACGCCAGCGTATGGGGTCTATGATGATTTGTTTTCAGTAAGAGAATATTTAACTTTCAGAAAGGTAATTCAATGAGGTATTTTTATTATGTCAGATGTTAATCATTGTTTACAGAAGTCTGGAAGTGTTATAAGTTAAATCATAAATAATATACAACGTTAAACTGGTACAAAATTAAAAACATTTTATTTAGGCCTATCTATGGCCTTCAAAAAGTTGACGACTCTACATGTTTCGACGTTACAACGTTGCTGAGGCCATAGATAGGCCTAAATAAAATGTTTTTAATTTTG